AACGATTAGTTTTGTCAGTCTGTCAGACACTTTATCATTTTATTGAATTTAATACCGTAGATGCCTTTCAAGACATTAAAATCAATGTGTCATAGATTTTTAAAAAGTCAACAATGGGCAGGCTTTAATAAAAACGTCTTTTAAAGATGGGGAGAATCGATATTGTGACTGTGGTGCAGGCAAGTTCTAAAAATGAGAAGCAATTTGGGTGAAAGTTCTGAAGCAGGTGGTGAGAGCAATGAAGGAGGAAGAACTGAGTATGGGAACGTATGTAGATCAGAGACGGATGGATGTATGAGGTTATGGAGACAAGCAGAATCTTGAAATAATGTGGCATTGTACAGAAAGCCAATGACGTTGTTATAGGATGGGAGTAATATGTTGGCGCATGTTCTGGTAATGACACAGCAGCTGCATGAACAAGATGAAGTCTGGAGAAGTTTGTGCCGTATACCAGAGAGGATAAAATTACAATAGGTAATCTGGCACGTAACCAGAGCACGTGCAAGAAAAGCTGTATTACTACCTGTAAGGAATGTGTGTAGCCAACTAATATTACATAAGTGGATATATGCAGACTGACAAATATTGATTTGCGTTTCAAAACTTGAGGTGATATTGAATTTAAACCCAACCTGACTCCTCACCGTCATCTTTGCCTGCTCTATTAGGCCCTGTGCTACTCTGTTTGATTGGCTAGTTAAGGTTAGAAAGATATTTCAGGGTCAAAGCTAACCAGTAGCAGAGGAAAGTGGTATCTTCGCTGAAGATGGTTTAGTTAACCTCAGAGTGTTGAATCTCACAACGGGCAGCAGAGACCAGAAGTGAGACATCTGTAAACTACATAAAACTGCAGTATGAGGAGAGTTTTCACCACATTATTATTTTGCTACTTGGTGTTTGTCAGACTGTCTTTTGAAGCATTGTGGAGAACCTCTGAATGCAGTGTGTCCTCATAAAGTTGAACAACTGATATGTTATCCTCTCAGACACCGCCTGTATCTTATCTCTAACGGCGTGTTAAATGACTCCCATTTCAGAGAACTACAAGGTCGAAGGGGTGGCGGGGCAAACGCAAGGTTTATCAACCAGGAGACCTTCCCTGTGGACATTACGTGTTTTGTACTTGTTTATAATATAAAATAAAAAATGTTTTTGTTTTTGGGTTTTTTTTCCCCCTCTCTCTTCAGGGTCAACACACCAAGAAAACAGGGAGGTCTGGGTAACATGAAAATCCCCCTGGTATCGGACCTCAGCAAGTCAATCTCCAAAGAGTATGGTGTGCTGAAGGAAGATGAGGGCATCTCATTCAGGTCAGTTAAATGCCCTTTTAATATAAAATTATTTTAATAAAAACCCACTGGTTATTGTTAAAAAGCAGCTTGGTCTACTGATACTTTAAAGTATTTGTAAAAACTGCAACATCTTGTGAATTTCAGGGGTCTCTTTGTGATTGATGACAAGGGCGTCTTGAGGCAGATCACCATTAACGACTTGCCTGTGGGTCGTTCTGTGGACGAGACTCTGCGCCTGGTTCAAGCCTTCAAGCACACAGACAAATATGGAGAGGGTGAGTAAACTGCCGTACCTTCCCTCAGTTCATCAGTGTTTACTCAGCATACACTGGTGCTCAGGTTTAGTGGTATAACTTATTAATCATGCATTTGTCATAAAAATAACCCAAATACATGTCATTAATTTTACCTGTAACTTCAGATGCTCTAAACTGCACATCACACACTTAAAATGGAAATAGCTGATTGGTAAAATTGACTGCGAAGCTGTGGCTAGATTTGGCGGTTTAGTCCTTCCTGTGTTTCCCAACCAGTCACATATGTACTTTGTCCTTTAGATTATACCAAGTTCAGTGTGTATAAATGTCAGCTTAAAGTAAACTTTGTCCCTCCTGCCACTTCACGCAGTGTGTCCTGCTGGCTGGAAACCCGGGAGCGACACGATCGTCCCCGACGTCGAGAAGAGCAAAGCATTCTTCTCCAAGCAGTAAATGTGAACGTCTCCTACTCTGCTGTTTTCCTCAACATAGCACTTGACCTCAGATGAGAGGGATGCCTATAAAGCAGTATCATCACGTCCAGACTAACCTGTTAAAACACACCTCAGCTTCATGTAGGGGGGAGGAAATGTTTGGTTTTGGGGGGGTTTTTTGTTTTCATGTCCAGTGTACAAACTTTTGGGTAACCTCATCGTCTTGATCACTGAAAGTATAGTTTTGTTGTTCCTTTTTCAAAGAAAGCACTGAAATTTGTTTCCTGGCTGTTAATAATTTGCTACCATCTTTATTAAAACATGGAGGAAAGTTATGATCAAGTGTGTGTGGCTTATTTTGGGGTGTGTGGGGGTTTTTTTTGTTTTTTTTTTTTGTTTATTTGTTTTTTGTTTGTTTGTTTGTTTGTTTTAAATCAAAATGTGAATGCCTGTCCACTTGCAACCCCTAGGTGGCGGCAGAACTCTTCTAAAGCTACTCTTGGCTCTTTTTCTTGGTGACTGAGAACTTAAAGTTCTTGGAATAAACCTTTTTATTTGTGTTTTTTATTGTGGTGTATCATTCTTGGCTCCTGTACCTGGCAGAAGATCTGAGTGCGTCACGAAGCTGCCAAGAGTTGGTTAATATTGGAGTTGCTGTGTTTGACTCAGCACAACAGCCTGTTATTGCCAAATGGTACTGAAGCACATTGGGAAAGATTACTGGATATGATTATATGATAATGACCGTCCTAACCACAACCTGCATTTCAGTTCCACAAACATTTTTGATATCTCACTGTTTAATATTTCCGATTTCCTGATAACATTTGTCTTATTTACTAATTCAGAGAACAACGCTCCAGTACACAATCCTGCTTGTTTTACCGAATGTTCTCGGCTTACTGGAACATTTTCTCAGTTTTACGCGAGCCGATTCTTGTAACTCAAACTAGCTCTCAGTAATCAGTCTAACATGTTTATCTGGAACTTTTTTTTTTAACCATTTTTCCTCACCTAGTGTTCTCACGGCTTGTTTTGGGAAAATGAAAGCAGAATGGGGAAACTCCCTTAACGCGAATAAACCACTCATTGACAAACCTTTTCAATTACACACACACTGTGGTGTAAAGGGGAGCGCGCAGCCCTTCTGACGGGCAATGTGGGAGGGAGTTCCCGGAAACCTATCGTGATGTGACGTTTGATAGCAACATGCACCATATATGGACTGACGCTTGTGCGTCAGTAAGGAAAAATCCTACGCTGGGACGTCTCCAACGTCAACCAACTTCTGGTGTTGTAAACTTCACTGCTGATCAGAGACAGCGGTGTGGTTTAATGTTCACGAGAAATACAATAATTTTTGAAGTGGCACTTAAAAAATACACGACCTCAAAAACACAGCAACACATTTCTTAATTTCATAATGTCATTTACTTAAATATTTACTATACAGGTAAAAAACAAAAAAACAACAAGAATGGTCCATGAGGTTAACTCTAACACAAATAACTTACATAAAAAGCATCACAAATAGCAATTAAAGAAAATGTAAACAGGAAACGCCAAGACGACACTTTCAAAAACTTATTCAAAAATGCCCTAAGTGTTTTAGTCTTGTATTATTTCTGTGTATGGGTGATGTTTCTTTAGACGGCAGAAATCACAATAATCCAGTTTTCATACTAAAAACGTATAAAGACCAGGTTGGGTTGTCAGTCCAGGTACTGTCCAGTGTTTTAATAAGTGCATTATTTCTTCAATAAGACTTTACTTTGGGTGCTAGCATGAGCTGGCAGCCACTGCTCACATGCGTCATGACTTTCTGTTTGAGTTGGGCCACCTGTTCCCGCAGTAGAGAAGCCGTGCTTGACAGTCCAGCGTTGTCATTTTTCAACACTTTAACCTTGTCTTCGAGACGGGCGATGCGCTCCAATTTGCGCCTCCGACACTTTGAGGCTGCGAGCCGGTTCCTCAGCCGCTTGCGCTCCGCTTTTACCCGCTCCTGATTCTCCATGTCGATAGGGGACATGGGCGGGGAGCTGTTGTCGCTGCTCTGCATGTCGGGGACTGTCTGGGGCTCCTCTTTCATCCCTCCGAACCGCTGAGGGTGGATGCCGGCCCCGGCCAGTGAGTGCTGGAAGTGGTGTGATCCGTGCGCAACGGCTTGAGGATGCTGGTGGTACTGGTGATGAGGCAGGTAGCTGATGGTGGTGGAGGGATAGCTGGCAGCAGAGGTCAGGCTGGGGTTCGTGGTGCAGCTGCTCAGGGTTGTATACTCAAGCGGCTCCGGTTGCATGGATGAGCCGAACACCGAGACTGGAGCCGAGCAGCCAACCCCGCCTGTGCCGATGGACACGTTTGGAGGAGCCATCTGGTTCATCTTGTGTAGGTCGTCCAACGCTTTAACAAAACCTTCGGCAAAGCCCTCCTGCTCCTCCGTGATCCCGCGGTTGTACAGGTACTGAGCAGGTGTCGGCGTAGTGATGACCCCGTTGCTGCTCTGGACGATCAGTCGCTCTAATTCAGGAGAGGCGAGCTTCAGAGAGCCCACTTCTGCCGTCCCCGCTGGATAGAAATCACTGTCGGCGCGCAGGTGCTGTGACTTGAAGTTTGAGTTCCGATATGTATCGGAGAAGTTCAAGTTCATATTCTGCTTAAGCAGCTTGTAGTCCTGCAGGGCTGCGCCTGGATGGCCATAAGCAGAGAGAAACGAGTCGTCATAAAAAGGCTGTTCCATTATTGTGGACATATTTCAAATCAGACAGTCAAATACAAGAGTGCGCTGCAAAAGATGTTGCTCGGACACCGAGGCTTCAGTGTCCCAAAATGAGTCAATCTCCAGCACAAAAGTCCCGCTGTATTACTATACTGAAGACCAAAGCTATCAAAACAGAGCAAAACTTCCAAATAGTGGAACTGTACTGTACCAAGTCGTCGATTTGTACCTTTAGTTGGAATCAAAGCGGAGTCCAGTGACTAACTCAGATGTTTTCATTCCACTCGTGAGAAGGAGAGTCTGTTCTTCTACAAGTGTGCGCTCCACTTGTGTTTCCTTGTTAATGACAGGCGGCTGACGCGCTCTGCTGTATTTATATAAGCCCTCCAGAAGACGCTCTGATTGGCTGTTTCTGTATTGTCTCCGTCTGATCTTGACTTGACGCAGCTTCCAGGAAAAACGGACTGTAAACACGACAAGACGTATTCGGCGCGGGGGAAACTGAGTCCAGGTAAGCATAAACACATAAAATAGGCTCCCTCAAGCATTCACACTCATAGTCATTTTTAACAAGTCACTTGAAATGTTACCAACAGCCCAAAAGCGACTCAAAGCCAACCACAAACGGCAACGAGCGCTTTCCAGCTCTGTTCGGACATCTAAACCGCTGCCACTTTGCCTTTCATCCTTAACAGTAATCCCACCAGTGAAGATATATAATCTGGTGCTGAGTCATGTGCTACAAACTGATATCAGCCGGTCCATATTTGGCTATCCTGGCGCACCGGTTCCTCAATGACAGGAGCAGGAAGCCAATCCCATCCTGGCGCACTTCCAGCTCCATCTCTGGGGGATGTGGGAGGAGAAGGGGGAGGAGGTTCGTCGCTGCCCCGCTTTACCCCGCAGGCAGGGAGAGGATGGGTAACTCTTGGGCGAGATGTCTTCAAAAACGCACGAAGCCTAACGGGTGTCTGGCAAGGGAGGACATGTTCGGTGAATCAGAGCAAACTATTAGTGCATTTAAAAAAGCAAAAAAATGTAATAAACAACCTTTAAGGCTTACACTCATAAGATTGAGGGAGATAATAGTCAGCCAACTTGAATTCAGTGCTCGGTACTTTGAATTTACCATGTTTACTTGCTCATATGTTATTTATGTTTAATTAACAGTGTAAGTGTATCCTTCTGAACCTACTGTGTTCCTATGGCAGCATGAAAACATGACACAACCTCTCAGGTATTTCAGTCTAAAGACACGTCACGTGCCCCCAACACCTGTTTGATAGAAAGACGTCTTTGTCTCCCCCGTATGGTAATGACTTCTGAATCACGACCCAGAAGGCCATGCGCACACGCACATCCATATTTTTTCTTCAGTTTTTTCTGTCTTCTGCTTACACTTGTCCTTAGGTCACATTCTGTTTTGATCATGAGTGTACATGTGTTTCCGTTATGGCGGAACCAGAAGAAGTCTAGCTGCATTCTTTAATCGTTTAAAACTTTTTTTTTTTTTCGGTATCTTGTACAATATTAGAGACTTCTGCCAGGCTGCGCCATGTGAGTAAGGAAAATGTGGCTGATAGCTGGGTAATTGCAGGTCTTTTGGATGGCAATTTGAGCAATTTTGTCTGCATTTGTGGTTTCACAGAATTACTTCAGCATTTTAGTGCTGTAATTTGATCACAAAAGGCAGATTAAATAAGAAAACTCAATGTAGAAAGCACAGAAAACACAAGGTGAGATATTTTGACTTTTATTTCCAAGAATGGAATTATTGGAAATGAAATTCACAGAACTCCATAAATCTGAACAACTCTACTTCTGAATCCTACATTTTCTACATCTTTCTTTGCCTCTGCAATTCAAGCCATACACACCATGTTTGAAAATACCTGATTATTATTTTAAGTCTCTTGTGAGATAACCTGATGTTATCACAGTTATTTGTCAGGGTTATTTGTCAGACTTTTGTGAGCTCCTCAAAATACACAAATACAGCAATGCATGAAGATACTGGTGAAAAAAAAACTGATCTTCATGTGGAAAATTGGTTTAGTGAACCTTAAACCCTCCAAGAAGAAAAATGAACATACTCAAATTCAGTCTGAAATATCTCCACAGCAATAAAATGAACAACCTTGATCTCCATGGCTGAGAGACTTTTGGGGGAATTTGGATACAATGAATACAATAAACCTCCCAGTCCCCATTACTAGGCCAGTGGAAGAGTGGTAAAACTCCAGAGTGCACTTGCATTTTTATTTCCACTTGATCGAAGCCAAATTACAGACTACAGAGACACTGATATTACTGAGGCTATTTTAAGACCTAAAACTGCTGCAGAAATTAAGAAAAATAAACAATATATCCATTTTAATGTTTCATTTCAAGATCCAAGTTTGTAGCCATCCAAAAATGCTACCGATTCTGTTTTTTAAATGGACCCAAAACACACACCTCCTGATTGAAGGATGCCTAGTACTGATTAGCGGCCACACAAATTTCATGAGATTGCATTCACTGAATGCGGCGTCCACATCAGCGACAGGCTCGGTTGAAAATTGCAGTAGTTACTTGAAAACAGCTCTAAGTTACCTTGATTCAGCTGTGCCTCTTACC